ATCCACAATTTGTTGTTCTGAGTCTGGGTGTTCTCTGTGTCCGTTTCATGTATCTTTTTAAAGTCCCCCGCGACACAGTATATATTCCTAATGCGGGCGTCTTTTTAAAAAAGAAAGAAAGGAAAAAAAAAGCAATCAGTTTGTTCTGTCAAAATTAGGGAACAGGGAGATATGGCGCTGTGCTGGGCCTAGTTCATAGAATTACAATAAGATAATCAAATTGGAGCACCCAACACAAAAATATCCCCCATGAGTTAAAAGCTGGATCCACCCCTACCTTTAAGTCCTATAAAATATCGGGGAAAAAGAGATTGACATTGTAGGTACACTTAGGTAAAATTAGCCACTCATTCTAAAATACATACGTTCCTTGTTTTCAGTTTGATCGCTATTATCGGTAACCATCAGGAAAATTGTAGTAGTAATTGTAGTACCTACAAACATTTTATAGTAACTCTGTCCCGCTGCATGGACCCATGAATGTGTACTTTGTTAATTATTGTAAGTAACATGTGTGTACAACAATTTAAATAAAATTAAATTGACTTCAAACAGGACTAACAAAGCTACTGAATAGGACTAACTATGCTAAAATATACTCTAAATTTATCAACGGTCTAATAAAGCATTCATAGTCTGAAACCATTAAAGATGTCCCTCGCATCTACTGCGGTGAACCTAGCCTATTCATCAAGCACCTATTTAATTGACACCGACTTCAACCGGGGCCTCAATTCTCCTATTTTAATATTGTATCAATAGACTGTCGATGGAATGTCGTCGGAATAGTGTTGCACTTTTCTTATTCAAAGACCAATGGCTGACTGGATCGGGAACGGGATGACTGGTCACTGATACAAATGTAGTCGATGTCTTTGTAATAGTTTGGTAAACGATACATTTTTTACTTGTAAGAAAATGTAATATTAAATTTTCATGAAATGGCAATGTTGTTGCTATCACCATTGATAATCTATATTACTATATCGACAGTCTATTGACACTGTGAATTTATGTTAGTAGAATACCGATATTTTGACCGATATCTGTGGCATCTCAATAGCGTGTCAAGGAAATGACAGTGGCTTGCCGTTAACATAAAATAGCAGAATTGAGGCGCAGATCAGTAGAGTACTTTTTATCGTGCAGATACTTAAGTGGGTCATCACCGGAATTGATTATGAAACGGTGTGTAGAAATCGAACCATACTGAAACCACATCTGACTGAAATCACACTGTAGTCGGGGACAAATCGGTCTTTTGGAAAGGAATCGAATACAATCTGTGAAAAAGGCTGCCGAAAACTCCAGCAGACCTTGGCTGCTTCAGTTGCTTCTTAAATAAGAGTCAGCCCACACATATACGTGCGGGGTGCCTTGCCCCCCATCCAGTAGAGCTAATCGTGGATTACTTGTAAATGTAAAAGTGAGTTTGTTTGTTTGTTGGAAACTGGACTGGATATCCATACTCTCGTACTTGTTTTAATGAAAGTAAATTTGTTTGTAACGCTCTCACGCCTAAACCACTTAACCGATTTTAAAAATTCTTTCACCAATTGAAAGCTACATTATCAGCAAGTAACATAGTCTTTTTACCGCGATTTAACTAACATACACGGGTGGTCAAAAGGAGTGATACCTACTTAACTTTTTTTAAATTTATTGACTGGGAGAGCCATGATTCGACACAGAAAGGCTACGCTCGATCAGAGTGGTACCACGGCCTCACTGAAAACCAGTGTGAAGCAATTGTTTCGTTGCCTTTCATCGAGTGTGTAAAGTTACCGGAGACCGAACCTGCCTGCGCACTGGCAAAAATCACTTACCATCAGGTGACCAAATGCCTGCTTTACCATAAAAAAAATAATTATAGTAACCATATTCGTATCCTTCTTCTTGGCCACCACGAGACAAAATAAACACGTAAAATGAAACCTACTGTTGTTTACAAGTACCCACCTATACAGACGTGATTTAACATGCGCTGGCTGGCTAGCTAATGAAAGGTTTCCTTGCCATACTATTTGTTTTCGAAAATGTCCTGAATGGTTCCTAGAAAGAAATAGTAGAGCTGTGACTTTTTACGGTTCGGTAGTAGAACCAGTAACCCTTAATGTTTCGCTATGTCCGTCTGTCCGCCCGACTATTCGTCCGCAGCTTAGCTAAGATACTGTTAGTACTAGAAGCTGTAATTTTGCATGGTCATTGATAAAAAACAAATCAGTTATCCCAGAGTTTGTAGTATCAGAGGGTATCATTGGATAACACTTTTAAAAATATTGAGATTTTGTTAGGACTATTTCGCGATTCAGTGATACGTTATAAAATATTGATCTTTATAAGGTTAATTTTTGTTAAAGTAGATCCTTAGTTCCCAAAGTGGTCTAGGTGGACCCCCAGGGCTCCACGGGAGTCTTAATGAAGTGAAGTGAAGAACTAAAATGTTGGCTTGACTTCACCTATCAATGCAGGCAGATAATATTTTAAGAAGCTTAGCGACTGTTACTTGTGAAAACTTGCATACTCCATATTTAGTACAACGAGTCGAGACTTGCAAGCCGCCGCCCGCAACGCTTCTTCAGACGTGCAAAGGGACGAAATACGACTTGTGGTGTGCGCTTACAATCTTGCATGAACTTGTTTGATTCTTCACCAATATAAATACGAATGCCAGGGATAAACGTTACTCAAATGTTTCCGGAATTTCGAAAGAAAAAGTAAAGTAAAGTGAATCGATGTTAGTGTTTGCCAGTGTCGAAAAAAGTAAGTATTTACCTACCTATATCATATTGTAATAAGTATTTTTGTAATGCTTGCTTATGTTAAATACTGAACAGAGTTATTATTAGATAATTCCATAAAAGAACAGAAAGCCGAAAAAGGTTGAACTTTTTGTCCCTACCTTATTAGTATTTTTTTTTGACCTGACTGTGGTCGTTCACTTAAGGAGAGATATATTATGATTGGATTGCATGGTTATAAATATTTAAAGTTCCTAATGCCTTAATTAAACTAACTTTCTAACTAACTTCCTGACTTAATAAACTGATACGAAACATGGCTGAATCTAAGAAGAAATGTCGACAGTATACTATTGATTATTCAAAATTTGGTTTTCTTCCCACAAAGGCAGACAACCGATAGCCCATATGCCGTTTATGCAAAGTTTTGAGCAATGGCTCTATGAAACCATCGAAGCTCGAAGGTCATCTAAGAAGGTGTCATCCTGATAAAATAGGTGAAGATTTTAAATATTTTCAAGCATTGAAGGAAAATATGAAAAGAGACCCATCGTGCACAGTACATTCGCTTTAACATCTGAAAGTAACGATGATGGCTTGCAATATCTCATTACTTATAGCGAAATCTGGAAAACCGCACACCATTGGAGGACAGTTAATTTTATTCGCTGTTGAAGAGGTTTTCAAAACTGTTCTGCACAAAACTCCATTTGACGTACTGAAAAGAATTCCTTTGAGTAACAACACTGTACAAAGACGTTTTGATGAAAAAAGTTCTGATACTGAAAGTTTCTTGTGTAATTATCTGCAAAGAACTTATTTTTCTATTTATCTGGACGAAACAACTTTACCACGCAATGAAGCATTATTATTGGCATATGTTCGATTTGTTATGGACGAAGAAATTCATGGAGAGCTACTATTCGCAAAAACTTTGGAGACGGACACTAAAAGTGAATCAATATTAATGTAGTGAGTTATTTTTTTAAGGAAAAATCAATTCATTTCACAAACGATGGAGCTCCTGCCATGGTCGGGCGATATCGTGGGTTATGAGCCATCTTAAAAGAATTATACCAGATGTAACTGCAATTCAGTGTGTTATCCTACGACAACACCTAGCAGTGAAAAGATTGAGTGATAGATTGCACAAATAGCTTTAATTTGTGATTAATGCAGTTGACAAAATAAGAAGCAATGCGTTGAATACGCGTTTATTTGCATAATTGTGCGATGAAAATGATGAAGACTTCCAACGATTGCTCTTACATACTCAAGCACGATGGTTGTCAAAAGTTGCATATTTAACAAAATTTTACTCACTTTTTCAGTTTCTGGAAAGTAAGGATCCAAAATTAAAAGAAATGCTGATCAATTTTAAAGCAGGCATTATGAATCATATTATAATGTAATCTGATAACAATACATATTTGAATAAATACAACACCTTTTTTTTACCACTCCGAATGGGGAGTTTGCCAATTCTAATTAAGTGAGAATTAATTGGTTCCATTCAATTAAATTATTTAATTAAGTTTTTACTAATCAATTCTCACTTTTTTTTTCTTTTTATTCGTGGTTAGAACTCAGCCTCAACGCAAATTGCCATAGTAAGATCTAATCTTCACATTTTTTGTCGAGTTTTGGGAATATGATAGAAATGTAGCTGCAGGGGGTCCACTGGAACCAGTTAAATTTTGAAAGTGGTCTATGAGAAAAACGTCTGGGAACTTCTGAAATAGAGCGTCCTCTGTTTAATTAGGATGAAACGCGTGCCAATATTGTTAAGACAGTGGATACTGAAGATCCCTATATGGTATGCCGTTTTATAACGTCATTGTGGGTGAAAATATGGAAATACATTCTAAGCCCGCATGTTGTAACAAGAACCCTACACAGCGCGTGGCCCGACACACACTTGGCCGGTTTTTTTTGCTCAATTCAATCAACGTAGACCTTTAAATTACTAACGTTTACTTAATCAGTTTGTTTGAAAGGATCATATTCAACAGAGCCAAATAAGCTTAATCATTCTTCGGATGTTCTTAGGTTATTCTGCGTCAGAACTAATGACAAATATAACAAAATCACTGTAATCAGAAATAAGCGCAATTGACACAATTCGATCGAAATGACATTGAGTATGATTAGAAACACCAAGTTTATTTAATTCAGTCGTTTCTTGGACAGTGTAGTGTAAACGCGTGTGTAGTTGTGTCAATGTTACGTGATAAGGCGAGCGGCTCGTGAAGGATAATAATGGAGACTGCGATAAAGATATTCAAGTAAGCATAGAAAGTTTAATATTAAAGTACGACGGTTGGTATGTAAACAATAGAAGATGTAAACAGTCTTTGTTTATTAAAAAGATAAACACACTCAAAATTGGAGTACCTACCTATATAATAGGACGAGAATTAGAATTTATGAATTAGTAGTACTTCTGTGAACCTACGTTGAAGTTGTCGTTTTTCGTGGGAGTACCTACCTAGTACTAGGAGTAAGGACCGTTTTTCACTGACTGCAAAAGGAGGTTCGTAAAGACAAAAAATTTATTTGTTTTTTTTTTGTGTTGCGCTTTTAGTAAAACTATTTCAAATTTGTTTTTATTTCTTTTTGTTTGATTCAAGTTTGCTCCCATTTTATCTTGAAAAAATAAATAAAAATATTTGGTCTTGCGAGATTTAAAATATAGACACTAAAAAAAATATTGATTAAGTATCGTAATTTTCTTTTAACCCAAATTTTCTTCATTTATTTTCCAGTTTTTAATTAAGATGATACCGAAAAATACGATATCTTAGTAATTTCTTCAACTCTTATTCACTCAATACTCGTATACTAAAAATATAAGGAGGTGGACGTCTAGTCTCAACTCAAGCTTACATTACTCTATTAATGAATCAGTCGAGCCAAATTAACAATTTAAAGTGTTAGCCGCTATTAAAGAAGTTAAGACGCATGGTTCTTATAATTACTCTTATAATTTCTCATAGTTCTTGAGACCCGCGGTGTTACCCGCGTTTGTTGTTATAACCGCGGGCAACGCCGCGGGGCGAAGCTAGTCTAAAACAAAGTAGCCTAAGTTACTCCTTATGTCATCAGCTATCTGCCAGTGAAAGTCCCGTCGAAATCGGTCCAGCCATTCCAGAGATTACCCGGAACAAACAGACAGACAGACAAAAATTGAAAAAATGTTATTTTGGCATATGTAGGTACCGTGTAAACATACATATGCATTTAGTAAAAAGCGATTATTTTAATATTACAAACAGACACTCCAATTTTATTTATTTGTAAGTATAGAGTATAGATAGGTACTTCAAATACAACAACGCTCATAGTTTGTATTTACAGACATTAATGAGGGTTTATTTGAAAACAATAAGTAACTTACTTCAAAATATGAGAATTAAATATATATGATGTTATATGGACATAGGTTTAGCATTATAGTTCCAATTGTTGTACCTATTAATTCATAAATTATAATGTATCAACCCAAATTAGTATTTATTTAATCATCAAAACGGTATCTTCTTGTCTAATAACAACTTGATTCCTATTATTTAATAAATTATTTCGCCGTTACCGCCTTTGCCGCACATCATCTAGTTATTATTTTTTGGAGGATAACGTGTTCGATGATAGGAATTTTGATTCTTTAAATAAATAAACTGGCTATCTTCTGGGTTACGAAACACGACCTAGATAAAACACCTGATAACATATCACTCTTTAAATAGGTACCTTCAAACTTTCTCACCTACGAGTTTTAATACTTGCGGGGCTAATATGGCTGATAACGATTTTATCATTTTTTAGGATAAGCTAGGTTATTATAAAAATTTTGTAACTATAACTAATAACAAATTTTATTACGTGTCAAAAATATTCAAAACTCATTGATATATTTTTAGGTTATGCTCCTACTAAAATTTATTATTATGGAGTAATTAGATAGATAAATATAATTAATAATAATAACATTCGTTCGTTCTGCACATCGCTATCTAGATACTAACTAATTACAAATAAGTTATTAACACAGTTAATAATTAAATTGATCAGTCTTAATCGTAAAGCTTTCCCCGATGTATGCCTTAGCCTTGCCAGTGATACTAGATCGCTCAAACATTGGTTATGTTAGATAGCTCTGACCTTCGTCCTAAACCTACCCGTAAGTCCTTTTAAAACAGGTTTTATTCCATACCAACGTTTTACCAACCATCTGCTATTTATCTGACTCTCCGGTATGTAATTATTCGCGGGTACCAGCTAGTGTAGTCACTAGCTGGTACCTGCGATTTCGTTCTCGTGGAATTTGAGTTCAAAATGTTTGTTTAATTTGCAGAATTGATGAAAAATAAATGGTGTAGTAAGGTACGCGACTGCAGTGCATAAGGCGTCGGGTTCGATTCCCGGACCGGGCGAAGTTTTAAAGGGTTTTTCTGAGAGAAAAAAAATTCCTAAGTTACTCCTTACATAGACAGCTACCTGGTAGTAAAATATTATCAAAATCTGTCCCGATTACCCGGAACAAACAGACAGACAGAATAAAAATATTTAAACTGGTTTTTAGGTATAGGTATCGTGCAAATAACCGTGTGCGCATGAGAAAAAAAAACAAATATTTTGACATTACTAACAAAGACTTCAATCTTATTTTTTTGTATAGAAAATATTTAGATTTATTATTGCTTTAGAGTTAGCGCGCGATTAGTTTCTAGAATTTTCTGATTGAATGTTAATTTGTCACAACCTAAAAGAAAATGAATAAAAGCTAAGTACGTTTTAGGTCGAATGGTGTAACATTCCGTTCAATTTAGAACGCAGTATGTACTATCATTGTTGTTATTATGATCAATATTCATAAATCAACATAATTATGAGAAAACATGACACTGTAATAAATACAAGTTCAATATCGTCGTATAATTATCAAGATCGTATTTAATTATCCTAAACATGTCACATGCGTTGGTAATTAATAATACTGGCATGTTAAACTTTGTACCCTTTTTTAAGAAAATTGCGCGAACGGATGAACGTGTAATTTGACACAGTTAAAGTTTATTTAGAGAAGAACTGCATAAAGCCATTTTATCTATATCTATACAAATACATAAAATTAGGGTCGGTTTGTAATGTCAAAATAATAGGTTTTTTTTCATGCTTACACGATTTACTTGAAGATACCTATGCCTAAAAACTAGTTTTTTTTTTGTATATCTGTCTGTTTATTCCGTGTAAACTTCTTCACGGCTACACCGATTTTGATAATATTTTACTACCAGGTAGCTGTCTATATAAGGAGTTACTATAGCTATTTTTCCTCTCAGAAAAACCTTATAAAGATTTGTCCGGTCCGGGAATCGAACCAACTAAGGCGGCGCTTTTTAAATTCCACGCAAACGAAGTTGCGAGTACCAGCTACTTTTATATAAAATGCATTAAATTAATGAAACTAAACACTACACACACTACTGCTTGAATGACACATAACATACACACACATACCATACTTACTCTTTTGTTCATGGTCAAAACCTGGTCAAAAAATGGTCAAAATCTGTAGGTTAATTTTATAATTTCGACTAAATTCAGGGAAAACTGAAAGTGCTTAATCTATGAAGTTAAGTCTGTTGAGTCTAGCTGACCTATAGACAGAAGACAGACAAGGTATATACATGTACAAGTAAATGCGATTTACTATAGGTTTATCGCGCTAACACTCAAATAAAGTTTATCAAATTTTTTGAGGTATATTTCAAACCATTTTTTGGTTTTCAGAAGAAAATCCTTATGGATTGGGTGTTGTGGGTTCGATCCCTACGTGGGACAACACTTTGTGTGACCCACAAATTGTTGTTCTGAGTCTGGGTGTCCTTTGTGTCCGTTTAATGTATGTTTGCAAAGTCCCCCGCGACACATTATTTATTGCTTCTGCGGGAGTTGTCCTTTAAAAAATATATAATATTATGAAAGTCTTGAGTTTTTATACTTCTCTCGTTGACTTGCGTGGAGATCTAAGGGCACCCGGTATTTTATATGTAGTTCCTTAAATAAATTCTTGATCAAACTCATAAAGTATATAAAAAATGTAACTTTAAAGTTGGTAAAACTATTTCTGATATATTATAGATATAAAAATGTTAAGTTGGTTTGTGTACGCTTCAAAAACTCAAAAAGTTCTGCACCGATTGAGCTCAAATTTTGACAAGACATACAACCAGCTTAAAAGATGTTTTTTTTTATCTTATGTTTATGTTAGAGGGGACAGCAGACGAGCAGACGGGTCACCCGATGGAAAGTGAGCAATGCCGCCCATGACCATTATTTTACGTGTCAGTTATATTCCTTATTCACATCAATGAAATCAGAATATGCCACAGCTAAGAGTGGCGGTTGTCTATATAATGTTCTCCTTTAGCATATGAGTCAGCTTTTTCTAGCTTAGATAAGACAAAGGTTCATTTGTTACAATGTCATTATTAATCTTTGTATTATGTTTGGACTTTAACTCCGTTGCTCACTCAGTGTGAACGGACGACGGAGCGTCACAGATATTATAGAAATACTCGTAGGTTTGTGTCATGAATATATGATTGCATAAGTCCAGATGGATCTGCATGTCTATGACCCAAAAATATATCTAATATTATCAGTGGAGCATCTCTAACCTCAAACACTATTGTAAGGGCTTCTATGTTGTGATCTTTAAATAATTGGTATTTGAAGCTTTCGAAATATCCTTCCTAGTAAGACAGTCATCTCACAGTAACTTTATTTCATTTAACAACTTTAAACGTTCATCTTCAATTTTTGCCAATGTCTATTTTATGACGAATATCTAGATACTGTTATGTAAAGTTCTGTAAATTACATTAATAATCTACTGCTCCTAACTTGACGATTAGGCATTTAATACGAAGCATTATTAATGTTGTTAATCGTTACTTGACGTACCTAAATAAATGTGGTTGATAAAACTGCTGTACAAATTATGATTGAATTCAATTTACTGCGATTAGATTAATACGTTCAAATATCAGCTGTTGCAATTCACTTAGCGACAATGTTCACTTACCTATAATATTACCAATTTCATTCGTTGAACTATATATAATATTTAATTAAGTAATATTTATGTTGTAAATTTTTGTTACATGTATTGACAAGTAATTGAGGAACGTTTATAAATTTATAATCCACTTAAATTGTTTTTCTTCTGTATATTTAGGTCAAAGACGTGAGTCTATATTGTGTTCACGGCATTCAAATATCGTAAAAAAGTGAAAATTGACATGTGACTGAACAACTGAACTCATTTAAGTCATACATTCTCGTAGCAGACTTACCTCAGCCTATGCTTGTCCACTTCTGGAGATAGGCCTCTTCCAATGATTTCCAGCGGGGACGGTTGATTGCGGCCTGCATCCAACGGTTTCCGGCAACCTTTACCAGGTCGTCCGTCCATCGGGTAAGCGGACCACCTTTGTTCTCCTGCGGATCTCCTCGTTGCGGATTCGATCACGCAGGGAAACGCCAAGCATAGCCCTTTCCATAGCACGCTGAGCGACTCTGAGCTTTCTGATTAGGCCCATAGTAAGAGACCACGTCTCAGTTCCGTAGGTCATCACTGGTAACACACACTGGTTGAAGCATTTCGTCTTTAGGCACTGAGGTATTTTGGACGTGAAGACGTTTCGTAATTTCCCGAACGCTGCCCAGCCGAGTCGGATTCGACGATTGACCTCTTTCTCGAAGTTGGACTTACCTAATTGGACCGTTTGTCCTAGGTAGACATATTCGTCAACAACTTCGAGGACAAAGTTTCCCACGACTATGGGAATCGTAGCAGACTATAGGGCCTTTAGTATGAGTTTCTCTGACTCTCTGTCAAATTGTACGTTTGTGACGTCATGAAGTCTTCTGACAATAGTTTAGAATGGTAGATTCAGTTAATTCTGATAGACATATTTCCAAAAATATACTTCTGGCTTCAAGCGAAGTAAAGCTAGCTTTTGAAAAACACACACGAACGCCTTGTATCATAATTATTCATTTCAATGTTTTTGTAATATGTAACTAAGTGTGTAAATAAAAGAGTTTTAGAAGACTTATTTTAAGATGTATATTTATAATTTCTTATTAATATTGATTTTTTAAATGATATCTGTTCCGAATCAAATAAATCTAACACAGTGTATTATTTGCGATGCCGTTAGGTCCTGGGTTAGATTCCCGGGTCGTTCTAATGAGTTTTTCAGTGACTGTGCTCGAATATGTATGTATTTGTTATGTTGATTGGGAGAGAATGCCTAATGGCATTAAGTCCGCCTTTGTACAACAAGTGCATTAAGTTTCAAATAAATAAATTTATGCTAGTGTGGTCCCAAAAGAACTTAATTGAAGTCCTTGTATTAGATATACGACTTCTGTAACATACGGAGGCCTAAAAAAGGCCTATACATCTTTGCCTAAATATCAGTTGTATGAATAATTATTATCATATTTCTTAATTTCAGTAAGGTGTCAAACGTGCTTGGAATAGAATGGGCTCCAATAAACACCCCGAGGACTCGTCGCCTACAAACCCTGGGCGCGATGGGGGTCATTTACTTCATGCTGTTCGGAGAAGCAGTTTCCATATATCTGTTCTTAACGCTCGCGTATTCAAGCCTCTGGTGGGTCGCCATCCTTTATGGGATTTGGATGCTGAGGGATATTGATATATGTAGCCGCGGCGGACGGAAGTAAGTACTTCTGGGTTTTATATGTTTGTATGTGGGTATTTATTTATACAACTTTTAGAGGTTATAAATTAAAAATCCTGATAGCGAACTACCAAAAATGTGGCAATGATATACTAATAATATAAAGCTGAAGAGTTTCTTTGTTTGGCCGCGCTAATCTCAGGAACTACTGGTCCGATTTGAAAAAATCTTTCAGTGTTAGATAGCCCATTTATCGAGGAAGGCTATAGGCTATATATCATCACGCTAAGACCAATAGGAGCGGAGCACCAATGAAGAATGTTTCAAAAACGGAGAAAATTTATTACTATTGAGAGACGCAGACGAAGTTGCGCGGGTCAGCTAGTTGATTAATATTACCCTAGAAATTATCTAAAGTATTGAAGCAACAAATATTAAAGAGTATGAACCTGCTTAGCACTTCTACTATTAAATGGGCTTGATTTCACAATAAAAATTGTAACTTTTGATTTGAATTGAAAACACAATTATGTAGGTTAATGATATAAGTATTAATATTACACGTTAATTTTATCAGTTAGTAGATATCTTTTTACCCATGTACATATCATATACCTATCAGTGGATACATAATGGACAAGACGAAGGTAGAACTTTCCATCAGGTAACCCGTGTATTCGTGTACCCCCTACATCGTATAATGTATCTTTTAGGTACATCAAATTTTAAACGCATAATCACAAAGAATCCGGAGACATAATTTAGCCATTTTTTATTTTAATAAATATACCCAATAATAATGTTTAAGACATTTATTACTCATTAAGAGCAAGTATATTTTAATTTTCTGAGAAACATAGGATAACTTAATTTAAAGTTATCCAATAAGTTGGTGTTCAGAAGGACGCACGTAACTGGAGGTAGTAACAATTTTGAAAACAGATATCACAAATAAATTAATGTCAAAATTAATACGAGTATTACAATTTTTACACATGGACATAGCGCTAACAACGTGAAGCTCCATTTTCAAAGCCCGGTATCAAATATTACTGATTATATATGAATATATAGGTACCTATCGTCGCCAGTCCGTGTCCACGTCCAGCAGTCGTCCGTGTGGTGACGGATTAAGAATACAAATTGTCACCACCCCAATTCATCCCGTGGGTGTCGTAAGAGCCGACTAAGGGAGCAAACTAAGCAGGACAACAGCACTGCAGAGAGAAGGAAAACTTGACACAAACCCTTTACCAACCCGTCTGGCCAGCGTGGTATAGTAGGCCAAAACCTCCTTTCTCAGGAGAGGCTTATGTCCAGCAGTGGACTATTAAAGGCTGTTGATGATCGTCGCCAGTAGATTTCTATGAATAAAGTCGAGATATTTTTGTAGATATGGCGTTTGACTTTCTATTTTTATTTTGAATTCGAGTACTTAGTAATAATAATATAATAATATTCTACTACATTAACACAACGTCCCATCTAGTCCCAAACAAAGCAGAGCTTGTACTATGGGTACTAGACAACTTTTTTTATTTTTTATTTTATTAAAAAAGACAACTTCCGCTCTAGGAATAAATCCTGTGTTGCGGGGAACTTTACAAACATACATGAAATGGACACAACTGATATAAATACATATATGTTTACTTTTTAAATAAAATAAAAAATGATCAAATATATTTCTTATTTCCAGATCAGAATGGGTGAGAAACTGGCGATGGTGGCGATATTATTGCGATTATTTCCCAATCAAACTAGTCAAAACAGTTGAATTAGATCCCGACCGTAACTATATGTTCGCTATCTTTCCTCACGGTGTCCTTTCTTTTGGAGCTTTCGGAGCCTTCTGTACGAACGCAACTGGCTTCCAAAAACTATTCCCGGGCATGAGCAGTCACTTCATCACCTTAGGTGGACATTTCTTAGTTCCTTTCTTCAGAGACTTCGGCCTTGCTCTGGGGATATGTTCGTCTTCAGAAGAGAGCTTACTCCATTTACTGGACCAGAAAAAATACAAAGGGAATTGTGTGGCAATGACAGTAGGCGGTGCAGCCGAAGCCCTGGATGCTCACCCGAAAGCGTATAAAGTGATATTAAAAAGAAGAAAAGGGTTTATTCGCGTTGCTATGAAGTCTGGGTAAGTTTTTTACAATTTAAACCATCCATCAATTTGTTATGAATAAAAGACTCTTTGTAAAACGGAACGTTAGAAAAATTCTTAAATAATACTAAACGCTTTGTTTGTCATTATATGATGACAATTAGTTACTTTTTGCCATTAATTTTCAAGGACTTTCTTAATTATGAAGGCTTAGCATTAGTTAAATCTTCATTTACTCTATGACCTGTACGGTAGGTTAAATTATGAACTTTTTTGGCTCCATGAAATACTGATCATGAATATTCTAGAGATTGATTTTCAACAAACCAGTCTGGAACTTTCCAATCTTTCCGTACTACAGCTTTTTAAACCAAAACTAAATAATTGAAACTAAAAGGTTTACGAAAATGGCCAGTAATAAATAGTTCCTCATCAAACGGTTTCTGCAAATAGAATCTACGGCAATAATAATATATAATGTACCTAACACATCTCACACAGGGCCGTCTGATTCCATACTAGGCATAGCCTGTGCTATCTTAACCAGACTGCTGTTAAACATACTTATATATTTTTTAATACTTATATTTTATAGATAAATTTCACCCAGACAGATCAAATATTATTGTAAGTATTTCTTTCTTATCTCTTTATTTCAGGTCGCCTATAGTGCCAGTATTTTCCTTTGGTGAGAATGATCTGTATCGTCCTCTTAGCAACCCAGAGAACAGTCTTCTACGACGATTCCAGGAGAAGGTCCGCAAGATCACCGGCATTTCCCCCATGTTCCCTCTGGGACGTGGCGTGTTCCAGTACTCATATGGCGTGGTGCCTATGAGATCTCCTGTTACCACTGTCGGTGAGAATTTATTAATTGATTATTTTTATAAAAAAATTATGTGGAGCTATTTGTAGCGGCATTTGATTGTAACGTGTCTACTCAGTGTGATTATTTTAATGCAAGATTTGAAATATTGTTCATTAACATACATATTACCAAGTACATTTTGTTTGTCGACTATGAAACGATTATTTTTCTGTACCATACTCGTATAACGAAGGTACCTACACTTACTAATCCTACATCGCGCAATTAAGGTTCATTACGCAAACATTAATCGTTGGGCCCGTCAGGTTGATCACCTTGCCTGTCAGAGGATCCCCCCTTTGTGCAGGAGAGACATGTGTCTAGAAGAACAGGTGTCCTACACCCGTTCTTCTAGACACACGTATACATTATAAATACACCCAGACACAGATCAATTCATCTAGCTCATCATAAAATCATTTGTCTTGAGTACAAATCAAATCTATGAATCTGTGTGTTCTGAAACCTGTAGTCACATACAGCTATGTTCAATACCGAAACAAGGTACTTGATACCTAGTTTGGGTTTGTATAGTGCTGTTAACTATGTTTATATTTCCGAAAAAACTATTTAATGTCTACATCCCCAATGTTTTAATGTTCCAGTCGGAGCACCAATGGAAGTTAAGAAAAATCTAGAACCCACACCTGAGGAGATAGATGCTGTCCATGCCGAGTTCACTACACGCCTGGTTGCTCTATTCGAAAGCGAGAAGAAGAAATACTTGAAGTACCACAAAGACGCACAGCTGATCATAACATAGGTCAAGTTATCAGAAATTGTTCAGTACTTAATGTTGGTACTTTTAATTAAAAGCTGTTGGACATTTCGATTTACGAATTAAAATAACGGTTAGGACGAAAGGCTGCCATATTAGAAGTGCCTGAAAACTTTGAGTACTACTTTTAGAAAAGTAGTTTTAGATAAGTAGACTATCCAGTAATACTATATAGTTCACATAATATATGGGAAATATACTGCCTCAGTGGTGCAGTAGTAGCGTATGCGACTGCTGTGCTGAGATCTCGGGTTCGATTCCCGGGAAACCAAATGTTTGTACGATCTCCAAATATTTCTTTCAGGGTTTGGGTGTTTTCTATATAATATGTATGTATTTACAAAAAAAATGTATAAAAGTATTCTATCAGTCAATCTAGTTTTTATAGTACGAGCTCTGCTTAGTTTGAAACTAGATGGTGTTGTGTCAGATAATCAAATAATCAGCGAAATATTATTATTATTGTATTAATTAATACAACTTTCGCGCCTTTATCCCGAATGGAGAAAAGATATATAAATTATTTTCCAAATTAATAATTGACGAATGAACTATTAGAGGACGATCAGGTTATTTGTGAATTAGAGACGTAAAATATGTAGGTATATATATTTAAAAGTAAACGTTATGTAAACAATTGAATTTACCATATTTAAGTACGTATTGGTGTACTGATTTTCTTTTACTAATTATTGTTAGTTTATAAGTTATTTCGGCTCAACGTACTATTCAAATTAAAATTGACATCGATTTTTTAATTAATTGTGTAATAATAAAATTCCATATGTTCATTAGGAACATACCTAAAGAAGCTTCTAGCCAATTGGATATTGTTTTAACTAAAATGTCGTAAATTTAATAACCGATGCATATTTATACCTATTAATATTGTTCATATCACAGACTGATATTATGAAGTTAATTAGTTCTAAGCTTGTTTTAGTTATGCGGGTATATAATAAAGATTTTCTACAATTTAACCATGCTTTGCTCTTTCAGTAAAATCCCCATAGGATGTATTCTTAGTGCGGGAGCTGTCATTTTAACAAAGATTACCGAATTTAATTTAATAAAAAGCATTTTAAAATATAAAACACTCAAAGTGAATATTGTCTTAAAATAAAAAGGTCTCAATTTTGTGTTGTCATTGTCAATGGGATGTCATGTTGGTAAAAGAGAGATTCCTCTACATAAATGGAGAGATGCATTCACGGGCATAAATGCATTTGACGGGCCTGTTGGTCTAGTGACTCTGACTGCTAAACCGGAGGTCGTGGGTTCGATACCCACCCAGGACAAATAATTGTTTGATGAGCACGATGATTTGTTCTGTGTCTAGGTGTATATCCAAACTATGTATATATATAGAAATATATAAGTGCGTTTATCAGCAGTCTGGTTACCATACCACAGGCTCTGCCTTGTTTCGAATCAGACGGCCGTGTGTGAGTTTGTGAGGGATATATTATTATATTATACCACGGGCTCTGCCTAGTTTAGAATCAGACGGCCGTGCGTGAGATGTGTGAAGTTATTATTATTATTCAAAGCTAGTTAAATAAAAAGCTTGTATTAAGTAATGGGGCCATAGATCATGTTCCGTGTATATAGGATCTTCATTTTAATTTTTAATAGTTGTTATGTCAAAGTTTTAAACTTAGTTATTGAAAATATGACTATGAGATAAAGGACAAAGAATAATTACGTCTTTATGACATTCATCATCAGTCATCTTAGACATTAATTGGCTTGGTTTAATTGCGTAGTAACACAGTAATAAAACAAATAAAATTTTACTATTTTTATTTATTTTATATATTTACATTTTATATACAATGTTAACATTAACGAATGCGCATGTCTTTGCGCATGACTCATTTGAGCATTTTTTTTCTAGACTATGAAGGCACATAACGAAAGATTTTATCTATAGAAACTGGAGAAATGGCCAAAGAGGATGGATTTATTTAAAATCCAGTAAACTTTGATTTAAGATATTAAAAGCAAAGTCAGCACAATAACACATATTATATTTAATAAATTTAAATAAATAAATTTAAATAAATGTATTTAAATAAATTAATTATATAATTATTAATATATGTTACTGGCATGTTTTCATTGATAAATGTGGTCATAATTAATTAGAAACGTTATCTAGAACTATCTTTAAATTTCATTTATAAGAGTATTACAAAAATACCTATTGTATCATGGCATGTAGAAAAACAGTATGGAAGTTAACATAACATAAATTTTGTGCTGGATTAAATCAGTTAATTTTAGTAAATTACTGATACAGATACAAAATGCTCAATAACACATACGTAAATATGTCTGTTTAGATAATTAACATGTCTAGATGGACCGTCGAAACCATAAAATCTTCTAAGATAATAGTGTCCAACTGGAGGCCACTAAGTTTCTTCTCACTATAAACGCTCAACTTGCACGCACCCCAGTATATATTTCCATACACACCAGCCTGGTAAAGTTGACCAGTTTATTTTATTCGTTTTGAAGTGCGACATTTCATATAAATCCCTCCAGGCATATAAAACAAATGTTCGATAGTCCATTCACGTTAAGAAAATAGTGACGCATCGATCAAACGCTGCCCTGACCAATCAAATTCCAAGAAATTATCATTTCGTTACTAAAGCTTGGACCTTGATTGGTCAGAGTTATTAAAGCAAAAAGACTATAAGGTTGCAATACTGTATATAAATAGATTCGTCATAAAATATACTGGGATGTTAGAAAGGTTTCTAAAATGTTTGCAAGCGATCTATTAACTGTTATTATGTCTCTTTTGTATACATTTTATAGTTTACGCTATTATCTCGTTGTAATCAAATGGATAAATTCTACTGTTTCTATATTAAGTGATTTTGAAAAAGTAACACGCTATGTGCATTCATGGTCATCATGCCTCCCTTTCTGTTTCATTAATGAAGGTATCATTATAATTATACACATTAATATACAATACGAGCGGGAATGATATAGAGTACCTATAACGGGCATGATACTACGTTACTTATAACACGTATAGAGCACAACACTACTTTTAATAAACTGTAATAAGTACCTACCTGACAGAAATAAGTTATAACGAGGAGTTTTCATTACTTTAGTTATTCCACAATGTTTAAATGTAAACCTTTTTGGAATAGAAAATTTAATAAACTTTAGAAATTAACGAAACGAAGATTAAATGGAGATAAAAAAAGAAAAGAAGGCAAAGGTCGTACTTTTATACTCTGTTCATTTGTTTATTTTGAATTTGACAGTTGCTTGTGAATGTAACGAGTTTTTTAAATTAAACTCTGTTTAAAACGCGAATTAAGTAAAATATTTATAATGTTTTTTTTTCAATCTACAGATTAATGTATAACGATATTACATGCAGTAATTTTTAAAATGATTGATTTTTGATCTACATAATTACTTTTTACGTTTATTGAACATATGAGTACTGCATATTTATTAATCGATGTTAATTGTAATAATCCTTTAAGTTACATCAAAATACCGTAATTCGAGTTTAAACTTGTGGTAATGAACAAGTGAAAGGTAATACAAGTACACAAATTCGTCATTTGAATCCTTAGTAACATTAACAATCATTCCCTATAGGGTCGATTGTTTTTTGTTAACTAACTGTCAAAAAGAAAATAAACTAACAGATTATTGTTGGATGTTGCACAATCAACAACTTAACGTCAAACTTATAACATTTGATATAATATTTAACATTGTATCAAGCTTATAATTATTTAAAGAATGTTTGTCTTGTTCGTTCGAAAATAAAATACATAGTATCAAAGTATCGTAGTAGCAGTCAGTCCAGGTCCCGCCCATTGGACAGTCACTCGAAAACAGTGAGCTCTAAAACAAAATTACTATCTAAACAACTATAAAATTCATTGTTACATAAACATGCTACACATTAGCGGTGATTTACGAGCCGGTTGTAAACTTAAAGATGCTCAAATTGAAACGGAGAGAAAACTAAACTAAGATAATAAAAGATACAGCTCTCATAATATCTTAAACTGAATTGTAATATTGTTCGAAAGCTCAGAAAACTCAACACACAAACTTAACAAAGGCTCAATGGAACCTCAAAGGCTATAATAGACAATAAGTAACAAGAAGACATAATCGGTGCAAAGTATTTAAATCATAAACACTGTCTGGATAATGGAAAACGGTACATCTCACACTATATCTCCATACAGAATTCTACCGAGAACAGTCTTAACGAAACGGTCGTACTTCCAAATGCCATTGAGACAAGGGACGTGAATCATAGGTTACCATCACATCCAGATCAGGATAAATTTTATAAAAAGTTTCACGTCAATCCAGTAACCACTAAAATCTCAATAAAGGCTTGATCCCAAGAACATGTTGCGTCTAAACTGATCGTTAGTCCAGAGAGAGTTTGTATCGGTGGTTCGCCAAGAACTAACTGATCAAATGTCAAAGTCGGTTCGTTGATGGCCCGGGGCTAGACGAAGACACTGTAGGAATTGCTAAATGAGGACTAATATGACGTATAGGGAATGACAAAGCCATAAAATGTAGGCGCACGTTAAAGTATGTTTCATGCATGGAACGTCATTTCGGTTATAACGTAAAAGAGGAGTATCTAAAGATTATATATTTACCTACGTTATGATAAGGGTGTCATAAGTTTATTGCATGATACATACTTTAAACATAAAGACTATAAAACGTAACGAGATTGTTAAAAGAAACGCTTCTAAGCGTTTGCGTCTTGTCTAGACCCATTGGAGCTAATAAGTCACAATCTATGATGAAGACAAAGTCTATGCGGCCTCACGCCTGCTTCGGATGCGTTGTTTGCGCAGGAGGGGCCGGCTTGAAGCATTGTAGTAAGAACGCTGTATACAGGATGAACGCTATTGAAAGCGCTATCAAAGCGTACATAAATATATTCAATTCTGGCTGTCGGAATCGGTTTTTTCGGAGCCACTCTAATACTTCATCTTCAGACATGAGGTCACCTGCAAAAAAAATGTTTTATATAATGCCAATACAATTGATATTCAATGGTATTCTGGAATAAACACCTACGACGACAGTGAAAAGAAAACGAATTAGAAAAATCAAGACACATTTTCCAACCTACCTCGGTATATGCTTGGAAATCTTTTCCTGAAATAAACAATAGCTGGGAGCTTTGTTACACCCCATTTACGTGCGTAACGGGGGTCTTGCATTTTCACGAATGTTATATCCAAATTATCCGTCTCACTGTCGATGTTTTCTAATTTGTCTAACACCGCACGACTTTCTGCTGTTTTTTCGTCTGTAATCAAATCGATATTGTTAGAATCTGCCGAATCTATTAAGACTTTGAATTTGAATAAGACATCTTTGGCGAATGTCAGCAATAAAAATGCTGGAAACCCGGTTTTTATAAAATAAACTCAAATTTCCTTTGCGATAAATTTAACTTTACTTACAGAAATAAACAGCTAAGAACTCATTTTCCTCTAACAATTTGTCCAGCATCTTGCGGTTAACCTCCTCAATTTCATTTTTTATCTCAAAAACGTCCTGAGAAGTCAGCCAAGCTAAAACTTTGTCTACTTGGTGGAGATCTCCGTCATACAGCATCGGAATTTGTTTTCGAAAGTAGACTAGTGATGGTATATTCACAATGTTGTAGGTAGCGGCTGCTTCAGAGCTAGCGATCTTGACAAAATCTATACCATACTGGTCAACTTCTCCATCTATTTGTTCTAGAGATTCCAGAATTTCCGCACATTCAGCGCAGTCTTCATCGTCATCTAAAAACAGACCATTATCATAAACCTTTAGCATATTTGAAAAAAAGACTATAAGTAACATGTGTTAACTATATTGAATTTTTTTTACCCCTCAATTTAGGATTACGTTTGTACGTACGTATTTCTTTATGCTCTAGTGGTCATAATATTAGATAAATCTTTTTTCTTTTGGTATCGATTTTTCACTTAATTAAGACATCATCATCATCATCAACAGATTTTACTAGACCACTGCTGGAGGTAGGGCTCTCCTTAGAAAGGAGATTTAGGCCTACCATACTGCGCTGGCCAGATGGGTTCGTATAGGATTTGTTTCACATCAATAAATTTTAAATCATTGGCATTATAAAGTATTCTTAGTAAGTTTGTGTAATGTTACTTACAGAAAAAGACCACAAGCAGATGTGATTCATACAGTAACCTCTCCAACATTCTGTCGTTAACGGATTCTATTTCATCTGCCAATTCCCTGTTGTCGTCATCAATTAACCACTCTAGAATGGATTCTTCGTTTTGTAAGTCACCTTCAAATAAAAGTGGGTTTCCATTCCTAAAAGTAAGTTTGAATTCTCTAAATATATTCTACCAGTATATTTTTAAGCCTTTTTCACCACAGGTATCCTATATCAATATAAGTAAATTGAAGTTTTTATTTTGAACCAAACAATGATCTAGATATTTATCACGAAATTTAAGTGAAACACTGGTATTAAAAAAATTGGTAATGGAACTAATGATATGGGAATACTAATATCATGTGTGTATATATTTTTAAAATAGCCAAAATTTAACTTTAATTTAAATTTACACAAACCCACCACACCAACGCAAAACCATAACATTTTTTACCTGAAGTATACCATGGCTGGGAAAGTCTTAATTGAATATCTTTTTGCTAACTGTGGATCTTGAATCTTGACCATGTGAATACCGTAGACATCGCATTCATCATCAATGCTTTCCAGACCTTCTAGAATGTGATCGCAAATGTGGCAGTTTAGTTTATCTGTAAATACACGCATCAGTTATATTCTTAACAAGCCATCATGTATCTTTTCCCAATTATATGTGAGGTTGGTGCAATGTTTAACATTGACATGCTACTTACTCATTAACTCATGAGTTCTACTTACAGAAATAAACGGCTAAATATTGTGTTTCTTCTACCATCTTTTCCAACATAACTCTTGTAATAAGTTCAATACGGTCCTCGGTCTTTTGAGTGATCAACCACTGCAGTACTTCTTCCTCTTCAGCTAAAGAACCCTCGTACACATTAGGTACATTGTGTTCAAAGTACACAAGCACTGGAAAATCTATTACACCGTAAGACTCTGCAATCGAATAATCCTGCGTCTTTACGAATTTAATTTCATGTCTATCGCAATCATCGTCGATATTTTCAAGTTCTTCCAATATTCCAGCGCACTGTTCACAATCCGTTCCATCTGAAACGTCCAAATCTGTTCCCAGTTAAAGTGTAGTGACAATTTGTGGGTAAACTTTATTGAATGGATGAATGTTCTGGTGCAGTTGCAAGCACCATGTGTAACTACTTATGTGCTTCTACTTAATATAAACCAAAACCATTCAACATCACATTGTTCCTCAACCTTTTCAGTATTAGATTCATTTCTTTTTTCATTCTCATTACTTTGAAATTTATATTTACTTAGCAATTTTTTTTTAAAAGAATCTGAAGCCTAAAATTTTTGCCTTTTATTAGAGTTTAATGCCAGCGGTTTTCGAGTTTCCTCCGATGTACGCTACGTATGCTCTCTGTATTACAAATACTGTGCAAATTTCTACACACTCTTAGATTAAATTTTCACATCCTTAATATAATAAAATAGGTTGAGAAACGATGCTGTGTAAGATACATTCGTTATTTACTGGGACTTGGTAACACAATGCGTAGGTATTTTAAAACTTCGCAGACTCGACACAGATGGACGTGGAGGGTCACAAAGAGACTACCATACTAAGTAGGCTTTATGCTAAGTAATTATTCTAGCAATCTGTGTAGACTAGTATTTTTTTGTAGGGTGATTCAGAGACTAGTTTTATAGGAGGTACGGCTTATGCTGGATAAATTGTTGAAGCATAAAACGTCTGTATTTTTAGACGTTCTAATTAGACGTTTAACAAAGTTTTATTGCTTATTAACTGACATACATGACAGGTACCTACTTATCTCGGCATAGGCTAGTCCGTGATAAGTCCAATTCAATCCATTTCTCGGGTCCAAAATACAAATAAATTTAACCCATATAACAGCATACTCATCAAGAATTACTCAATTTTCATAACAGTTTATTGTTATAAACTCTCCAATAAGTGGTGAGGCGTAATGAACGTCTTATATGAGGCACTTTATAGATCTGTCTAGTTTGGCTATGTCTTCATGTTTAAAAAATACACTTATATCAAATCTCTAAATCGCAATACAAATAATAACCAGTTTGTAGCTCTAAGTTATGACATGCTACATGCAAAAGAAATTACTGCACAGACATAGGAACAAGACAAGATTGCATTTGCAAGGAACAAATTGCCAATGGACACGTCTCTAAGGGATTCGAGTACCCTCCTGATCCTGCGCATCTTCTTCTTGCTCCCTATGATCTTTCTCTTTCGATGATTTTCTCATTGCTTTCGAATTGCACATTTCACATAAAGTTTTGTTCCCTATTAAAAAGCAATTAGGATTAATAAATTAAATTTTATCTGTGGCATTGACTGTAACAGGAACATTTTAATACGTTTTTGTTTTATCTATACAACAAAAGAGATAGTTTATTAAAAGAGATAGATAGATAGGCCATCTAAGTGTCGCCTAAATATACGAAGAGTCTTAGAGGTTATTATCAGTCCATTACTTTCTTTTTGGACGCTTAATTTCGAGTTAGAAATTTAGAATAGAATAGCATAAAATTAGTTGAGTCATGTTGTTCAGAGTAGAAGTGTACATTAAAAAACTGTAAAGCAACTTACAAAAGTAGACTGCCAAGGAACCTGATTCTTCAATCAAATCAACTAGGTCTTGTCCATCAAGTGCTTCTATTACGTCTCCTGCTGGGTTCTTTTGAGTTAATAACCAACTAAGAAGCTGTTGTTCATCATATAAGTCTCCTAAAATGTAATTAAAGTGTCAGTAATTATTATCTTTAATTTCTTTATTAGAATTTAGAAGATGGAGTATAAAAAATATATTCACTCATAGTGTCAAGAGATCATTATATATGACGGGCCTGTTGGTCTAGTGGTTAGCGAACCTGACTGCTATATGTATTTAGAAATGAATAAGTATATTTATCAGCTAGTTTAGAATCAGGCGGCCGTGTGTGTGATGTATTGAGTTATTATTATTATTATTTATGCTCTTAATCTTATGCAACAGGTTCATAATGAATAAGACATCCTAGAAGAGTTTAAGTAAAAAAAATTAAGGTTCACAAAGATGCAAAACTTAGCAGCATTTTTTATGATGTAGAGCATTTATAAAAGAGTTTACACATCACCCGATAGTTAGTGACTAAAGCTGCCCATGGACACCCGCAACTCAAGAGATGTAAGAGTAATAGCACCCTTTGTTTACTCGCTACCGAGAATTCTGGGTATCACTCCGGTCAAACCGCCCCATTTATGTCGAAGCATGACTATCCCACGGCCTTGCCTATCACTAGCTCTCTCTCAGGACTTAGACTTTTTACAATTTTATCATTGTAAAACAAATATTACCAGCATAAATAACAGGGTCCTTGGAGCCCATTTTGAAGAACAGCACAGCAGGTAAGGCGAAAACACCGTACTCCTTGGCCATTTGTCTGTCGTCGATCTTCACAAAGTTAATACCAGAGTCATCAGCATCGTCATCTATGTGTTCAATCTCCGCAAGCACTTTGGGACACTGTTTGCAGTCATTACTGTCTAAAACATGTATAATGTGCAATATAATTGGATTTGTAAGTACCAGTTTTTTTTTTCAAGGAGTGGGTAATATTATATAAATTGATGTAAATTTGTGGGTTTTAATTGCCAGAACACCAAATGAAATTCGTCCATAAGAATTTAGCATATAAGAAGGCAGACAATAGGCAGTACTTTGTAAAATCCATTGGCAGACCCAGAGTGAGAGTAGTGAGAATACATCACTAGACCTTCCAAAACCTGGGTCCAAAGGGTACCGAATAATATTAAAGAAAACTCACAAAAGAATACTGCAACGTAGTCCGAAGTTTGCCTAATCTTGTGGAACATCTTTCTGTTGACTTTTTCAATGTGATCTGTAAGTTCCATGTTCTCCGGATTTGTTAACCAGTCCAAGATTTCCTCCTCATCGTCTATATCTCCATCATAATTTATATATTTCGTTTTTCTAAAGTATGTTATTCCAGGTGGATTGCGAAAACCATATTTTTTTGCCATTAAACGATCACTGCATTTGACTATTTTGATACCGTATTCTGCCGCTTCATCATCAATCAGCTCAACATGTCTAAGTACTCTTGGACTTGATGGATCATCATCTTTGTCTGAAAAATATCAATTTTTGAGTTACGTATACATAGTGAGATAATTAATTAGGAAAAAAATGCATCTATTAAGATACTCACAGAAAACAACAGCCAAAAACTCTTTGGTCTCAATATATTTAAATAATTTGTCTCTGTCTATCTCCTCAATGCTTTCATCTTCCTTCTGCTTGACCATCCAATCTAATACCTCAGACTCATCCAAGAGGTCCCCTAAAATAGTCATACATTTTACTGTGCACTGAAAACCCTAAGTAAATAATATATATTTTAAAGAAACCACATCCATTTCACTTTTAAAACTCACCATTATAAATCCAATTATGGTCATGCGCGGATACAACTACGGCAATACCATGCTGACATCATTCGTGTGTGAAATGAGTACTAACAGATTTGTTTTATTAGAAAAAAATGTATTTATTTAACAAAAGTTGTTTCACCGCCGACTCAACAATTCAACGTAACAAGTAAATAAATTAAACATTCATGCGAATTTTCGGCCAAACAATACAACTTACATATCGACATAATTGTCACAAAAAGCCAGCACCGTTCGACCTGAAGGCTTTAGACGACTCTAACACATAATTAGTCTTCAATAGAAACACTAGTTAACAATAATTTAATTGTCATTACTAACAACCTAGGTACATAATACGTAGCCCAGCTAGTGATAGAGATCGCCCATTGCTGTCCGATCTTATCGTTACTGAACTAAACGATAATGATGAGATTTATTGCACTGCTGCCGGCACTGTGCTTTTGAAAAATATTAATCCAGTTATTAGTTTAATATTGATATAAAATATTAAGAGCTATAGTTTTTATTTCTATAAATAAGAGTAATATTTTATCAAATGTAGCATTACAAAATAATGAGATTCCATGAAGACTAGAAAACTATATGAACATGAAATCCTTACAACAATTATAAGTCTTTCAAGATGGCCCGGCAAAATACAATGAGAAATGCCTTGCTGTTATTATTGTCTCGATTTAAATTAAATTTCTAAATATTGGAAACAATTTACAATGAATATAACGATTTGTACACCTGCTTACAATGTCACTAGACTATCCCAATATTTAGTCCATCATGATCTTGAATTATATCGTAAAGCACATTTTTAAGAAGTTTTGGGCTGTACTGGCACCGTCTCGTTCGTGGCTCGGCAGGTTGCGATAGATCTCGACACCTGAACGTGCGAGTACAGTCCATGTGCAACGTGTTACAACATTCAACCCTGTTAAGTGCTTGCAGGAGTCAAGGGACACGAGGTTGTAAAGCTAGCAATGTTAATACGCCATGACTATCGATGCACAATTAGGTCTATTACAGATACGGGTGAAGGAATAGTGAAACATAACATTCGTGTCCGCTTGATGCCTAGTGCACACCTTGCATTAATATCCAAGATATTAAAGCAAGAGGTGATCTAACATATTAACATAATTTACCACCACCAAACATTGCCAGATTCATCTAAACCTTTTCTGCCCTTCTTGTCAGGTTTGACGAGAGCCTTGTTTTTGCCTTTACCCGTCGGTGGCTTCGCCATCGGTTTTCCCTTCTCGAGGTTCTTCGACTGCATCTTGGTTGGCGTGGCCTTCGCTACTTTTGTCGGACTCTGAACTTTAGTGGGACAGCACTGGTAGGGTTCATAAGTCATTTTTGGGACAGCTGGTTTCGCCCCCATTCCAATGTAGAAACAGCGATCGCCTGCAGTCAGTAAAAATCTCGTTTATAACCGGTGTAAAGGTAACAATAGGTTAACTGCGTTAATATTTGCGCTGATAATAAAGCGCTATTTCTAATGGTTATGTTAGTAAAAGATTCGAAAACATTTATTGTGTAAGCGTTCGCGAATGACTGCAGGCGATAGCTAGAGTGGATCCCATGCGGGGTTTTCGACCATGCAGATGTTGCGGGGTCCGTGCATGGACATTGGGAACTCTAACGTTCAATTACCTGTAAACATTCGTTTTATTCTACCCAATATACTATCGTCTTCATCTTCCTCGAACCCATGTTGCCTTCCAAGTTTCATTCTACCTATGGTGTTATATTTGTTACTTTTTTTGTAGTCATCATCGTCATCGTCGTTATCATCATCGTCATCGTCGTTATCATCATCGTCATCATCGTCATCGTCGTTATCATCATCGTCTTCATCGTCATCGTCATCGTCGTCATCGTCATCGTCATCATCATCATCGTCGTCATCATCGTCATCGTCATCATCATCGTCGTCGTCATCATCGTCAATATCTTCTTCGTCATCGTCATCATCTTCATCATCATCATATTTATCAACATCTGCACTGTCATCGTCATCATTATTATAACTATTGTCATCGTATTTGTAACGATTGTCTAAAGCTAAATGCCGATTGACTCTTTTCCAGGTAGCGTCTTTTTTATGATTTTCAAATTTTAAAATACTTTTAATAGGTGTTAGTTTTGCATTGTCTTCTTCTTCATCGTCATTAACGTCAACTTCGTCATCGTCGTCATCCTCGTTCTCATCCTTCTTATTAAATATCATTTTAGTTTTTTGCTCTTTTTTATCAATTCTTCCTGGGAATCTAACCTTCAACACTCCCATAGTTTTCCATTCTGCAGGTTTTGCATTGTTTGGGGTTTTCTTAATATGTATATAGGTATTTGACCCCGTTGTTGTTTTGTAACTATCTGCATTGGCCTTTGATTTAATATTAGCTTTATTATGTCGGTGGTTATCTTCACCTGCAGGCATTAGTAACTGTCATGCAAAATGACATAGCTCAAACATCCAGCATTTAAGGCATAAAGTAAGAGTCGTTTCAGAGATTTATCAAGAATGATGTCATGCACGTAAAATATTCTTAACTCATAGTAAATATATTTTAACAATAAACAAATTTCTCGACCTTAAATAGATACATTAAAAACGTTTATTATATGGATGTGGATTCTTACTTTTTTGATCTACAAGCCACTGCAGAACCTTATTTTCGTTCTTTAAGTCACCTATAAACAGGATAAATTATTAGACCTAATAGTACAAACATCTCTAAAACATAGACACATATTTAACTAACATCAAGATATAGAATACTTAGTATTTTTATTTAAGCCCAATACAAATAACTTACTACAATTCCTTCTTTTGAAAATATTAAGTCACTGAATTGATATTAAAGACGATATATTAGATAAACACAGTATTATTCTACATCTGATTTGACTATAAACAGTAAATAAGTTTATATTATATTTACAGAAAAATATTTACAATATAGAATTACTTACCATCATACATAATAGGTACCCCTGTTTCATAGTACACGAGTGCTGGGAAGCTAAAAATGCCAATATCTGAAGCCAGTTTTGAATCTTTAGATTTAACGAATTGAATGCCATGCTTGTCCGTGTCATCATCTATGGTCTCCAGCTCTTCGAGAACATCATCACAAGTGTCACAATCGTCGCTGTCTATAAAAAAAACTATGCTTACTATAGTTTATAGAAAACAAGTCACCGCTCACTTTGAAAGAAAACGTTCACATTAGAAGAAACAAAATGGTGCTAATTCTGTTGTTCGAAAACTCAATAAACTAAACTAAAAATCACTAACAATTTGTTTAGTTCTGTAAAAAAACGTTTCCTATTCTGTAAACGCAATATTTGATAGGACAATTTTATTTTTAGTTATTTTTAGTTTAGAGAGTTTTCGAACAACAGAATTAGCACCAATGTCTTTATGTCCGAAAGGGTACACAGAGGCGTAATAAACGCTAACATTTTACCGACTATAACCGTAGTCCTAGTTACGTACACACGTTTATAGATAAATCACACCCAGACACAGAATAAATGATCCACCTTTCTCATCGTACAATATTTGTCTTAGGTAGAAATGGTACACAAAATTTCCGAGAACGAAAACCCTTGTTCTTTCATTTTGTTTTCAAAAACCGCAACTACTCATTTACTTACAAAAAAATACTGCCAGATGTTCAACGTCATCAATTAGATCCTTTAACGTCTTCCTATCTACATTTTCAATAACATCGGGCTGTGAATCGTGGAGATCCAGAACCCACTTCAGAATTGCTTCTTCATGCATAAGGTCGCCATCGTAAATTGTTCTGAACTTATGTCTATAGAAAGCCAAAGCTGGAAGTTCGGAAAGGTCGTATTCCTTATCAATGCCGTCGTCAGATGTCTTGATGAAATCAATGTCTTTCTCTTCACATTCATCATCAATATTTTCTAACTCACTTAAAATTTTCTGTGATTTCTTATCACCTTCTTTATCTGCAAAAGAAGTGGTCGATTAAAATGTGTTAATCTTATTAATTTATCTAAATACTTATTTTGTTTTCTATTTAAAATATAAACTGCTGAATTGTATTCCTCGAAAACTTTATCAAAATATATTAAATACATAAACCATCAAAACAATAATATATATATTTTTTTTTTATTTCTACAAATTTATATTACTATGTAGTTTTTAAATCATTACATGTTCATAAAATATTACTTACAGAAGAACACGACGACGTGATCATTTTCCTCTAGGATTTTCTCCAACATTCTAGAGTTAACTTCCTCGATCTTGCCGGGAATCTCTAAGGTATCTTCATCAGTCAGCCAAGCTAGAACCTCATCTTCGTCTTCAATATCACCTTTAACGATCAATAGTCTTTTAGTATTAGTTTTATTTTATATGATTTGTTTCAGAGTCTACTAGAAATATATACATGTATATATTTTAGTAAGGCCAATTTTTTATTTTCTTTGCGCCATAAGGCTTATTAATATTATTTCAATACAAGTAGATATCTACAACTGTAGCCTGCCGAACTTCAAAGAAGTCGCCCAGAGATGTATTACAGCAAATGATTTTTATGTATAAATAACTGTTACTTACTGTTTTTACTTACAGTATCGTTTTGGGATAAATCCTGTAAAGACACTGTAATTGTTTTTAATAAATAAATAAATATTTCTAGTAGACTCTGAAGACACATTATAAGTATTATCCATAGTTCTGAGTGACCTCTAAAATATATTAAACCTAAACTAAATAGGTTTAAAAAAAAATTAAGGTTTACAAGTAACCATAAATCATTTACCTTTGTAAATGAGCGGGTCCTTATTTCTGAAGAACACGAGAGCGGGGAAAGTCTTGATGCCATGTTTTTTAGCTACCACCGAGTCTTCAGTGGTCACAAAGATGATGCCGGTCTCGTCTAACTCATCGTCGATATTCTCCAGCTCATCTAATATGTTGTCGCATTCTTCACCTTCTTCGCAGTTACCACCTTAAAAATTATTATTATTCTAGTAGGTACTTTCTATGATGCCCAATGCCCTGTAGTTAATACTTGGCACAACACCTTATCAGTCTAGGCATAGAGAAGGACAGGTGTTATGAATTTAGCATGTGGATCTACGTGACTGTCTATAGCAAAACTGATAGACCAATTTTTGTTTTGTTTTTTTTTATTTAAAAGGTACTTGATCGAGAGTAATCATTGAAATAATTTTTAATTCAGGTTAGAGTTTAAGTCCACTTTAAGCTTTAATTTATACTTGTGTCTCACGCACTTCTGGTTAACTTAGACTTTGAGAAAGATTTTGAATCCATTTGCGAATTTAAATGGTAACTTAAAATGTCATTAGAAACAGATAACTACTTACTGAAATATACAACAACATATTCGTGTTCCTCTATCAAATCTGTAAGAATTTCATCGGTGACCTCTTCAATCGTAGCACTGTTTTTCTGTTCAATCAGCCATTCCAATACTTCGTCTTCATTCATAAGGTCTCCTTCATATATAGCTGGGATATTTTCTTCAAAGTATACTAAAGTTGGCAGATGATCGATACCATATTCCTTTGCTTCTTCTTCATTGTCAATACGAACAATAACAATGCCCTCCTTTTCTAATTCATCGTCAATATTTTCCAGTTCATTCAAGATTCGGATGTCTTGTTTGTCTTCTTTATCATCTAAAAAACACCATCACATATTAACCTTAAATCGGTTGCAGAACATACGTTCATGTAGAGAAAATTTACAAAAATTAATGAGGTTATCATTTTTTTTTATTTCTTATACAACCTATGTAATTAAATTAGACTAAATAAAAGGTAAATACGAATAGATTGATTGAAATAATATTGCAACTGTTGTTTTACCATAACTTGAAAATTAATAAGATTGAATATTACTCAACAGATTGCTTTATAGTTTTCACAACTACACAGGGTTTACTTGTACTTTAGTCAAAACTTACAAAAGATAACAGCCAAGTAGGGGGTGCTACTAATCAGTTTATCCATCATTTCATCAGTGACTTCTGGGATCTCGCTGTGACGTTTCTGGTGGAGTAACCATCCAAGTAACTCATCTTCCTTCATTAAGTCGCCCTCATAAACATGTGGAATACCCCTCTCAAAGAAGACCATTGTAGGAATTGTTTCAATACCATATTCTTTAGCCTCTTTGTCATCATCGATTTTAACAAAAGCAATGTCATTCTGGTCACATTCGTCATCAATGTTTTCTAATTCAGCTAAAATCTTCTGACTTTTCTTGTGGTCTTTGTCGTCTGAAATAAATTTGAAAGACTGTATTTCATTTATATGTCAGTTCTTGATAGTACATGGTTAAATAATTATAAAATTTCTTATTTTTAGACGCGTTATGTATTACAATGCTGGCATTGTTTCAAATGATTATAGCCAATGTTAAGGCCGTGCCTACTAATGTTAAAAAGGTACTTACAGAAGAGCACAGCAACGTAATGCATTTTATCAATTATCAGGTCCAACATTTCATCGGTGACATCCTCAATTTCATCGCTCTCGGTTTGATGCTTGAGCCACTCTAAAACCTTCTCTTCCTCTTCAAGATTTCCTTCATAATAGGTAGGAATACCCTTCTCAAAATATAGCAGTGTAGGCACTTTCTCAATACCATACTCTCTAGCCTCATCATCGTTATCAATCTTCACAAATGCAATGCCGAGTGTGTCACACTCATCATCAATATTTTCCAATTCGTTTAAAACCTTCTGCGATTTACGATCGTTATTATCATCTGTTGAAAAACGTGACTTTTAAGAACGAAGGTTAAGAGAATATTAAAATATATATATCGTGAAAAAAAGCTTACAAAACAACACGGCGACAGTCTTTCCATCCTTGATCAGATGATCCAACATTTCATCAGTAACATCCTCAATTTCGTCTTTCTCCAATTGATCGACGAGCCATTCTAAAATCTCTTCCTCATTTTCAAGATCACCTTTAAAAATCAATGAACCAACGTCAACACAAGGACAATTTTAAAAGATTTATAAAATAATGCAAATATTTAACTCCATTACCGTCATATACATTGGGAATCTGTTTTTCGAAGTAGACTATGGATGGTACATTATCGATCCCAAAGTCTTTGGCTGCTTTTTGATCGTCGATTTTAACGAACTGTATACCGTGACGGTCACAGTCATCGTCTATCTTCTCGAGTTCACCTAGCACTGTCATCGATTCTTCATCGCCGTGGTCATCTGAAAACATTAACATGATTTTGAGAATTATATAACTCTCTTTACAGAAACTCGTCGTCAAATCTTATCAGGTTTTATTTTTAATGAAGGGCCACAAACATCAAACTTTATGTACGAGTACAAGTACAGGTACTCACAAAATAGTACGACAAGATTATCAACATTTCCGATCAAAGTATTCAAGGTCTTAGCCGTGACATCTTCAATGATATCTTCCTCATCACCCGTGGATTTGTTAGCGATCAGCCATTCCAATACATCCTCTTCTCGGCTCAATTCACCTGAAATAGCGTGAAGTTAAATATTAAAATTTAGATTAATTTTAAAATAGAACTTTTAAGACCAACACAGAAGAGATTCGTATTTGTTTCGTAAATGAATAGTACGCAGAGGTACACAAGTCTATTTAGTAACTACTGAAATAACCATGGCCAGACCTGTTTATATTTTAGTCTTAACACTGTTATTTAACTTACTTTAAATAATTTACTATCTCACACTCAGCAAACATTTCTCTATACAATTCTAAATTTTTATGTAGGTGAAAGTGATGTAATGGGTTGATGCAAAACAGAAATCCTCTTCATTAACTTAATCGACTTACAATCTTACAATCGGCACCCGATCGTCAATACTAATAAAATATCAATCACGTACCTTCATAGATAATAGGTATTTGATGCCTGTAGTACACTAGTCTTGGCAAATCTCCAAGACTGTACTCTTCAGCTAGTTCCTCGTCGTGGATCTTCACGAAACCGATCCCGAGTTGATCAGCCTCGTCATCAATGTTTTCTAGCTCTTGGAGAGCTTTAGCACATTTCTTACATTCAGGTTTATCTGTAACATGTTATGTGTTGCTTTAATTTAATGTGTCACCGGATAATTCTGACGTGCATAATTCATGCCTCGTAGGACGAGAAGCGGTGCAGTTAAGTGCCTAATACCTAAATGAATGTGCTTTGTGTGTTAATAGAGTGTGCAGGAATAAAGCTTCTGTCGTGCAATTTCCTAACGGAGATGTTTGTTGCTATGTATGTATAATAAAAATCCAAAATCCTTTGGAGAAGCTGTGAAAATATGTAAGTAGGTATATAACATGTGCAGATCTAGAAGATTGTGTGAAAATGGTTCGTAAACATTAATACGTATTATTTCCACGCACCTATTTCTTTTACAGAAGTAGTATATATAATATATGTGAAATCTAACTTCCTTGAACATGTATTACTAAAAAACATTGTAAACAACGTTCATGTCGTGGAAACGGCAATCTTCCATTACATATTTAGGTCAAGGTCATCGTATGATCTTGTTCTTGGGAAGTCTTTGGCCGCGCTTCTTTATAACTTGGCACCGACAATTCGTAATTTATTAATACTAACTTTAATTGTTTTTTACTGTCGTTAAGAGAGGGAGTCTGACGTAGTAGTTGTGTCATGCCGGTCCGTCAATCCGAGCTTGCTAGCGGGACGCAAATAACACATCAGAAATAGCTCACCTCACAGCCCGATAATGCAAACGCGTTTTTGATTCTAGCTTTCCCTTAGACAAGATAGGGGACGGTACGCTTAGTGAATAGTGAAATTACAGTATTAGTGTGATGATTAAGTAGATTAATCGTAATAATTCATGTTAGCATCGTTTTGTTCACTTGTGGGTTTTTTGATACTGTTATGACAAAAATCGTCGTTAGATATTGTAATTGTAGACAATTTGCTCTGTGAATTACATTGTTCCATTATGTTGTATCTGAGCTAAACACTTATCAGCACCAATTGTCGACGTAAGCACGAGCCATTAATATATTATTAAAACTGGTATTAAAATTTCTTCCCTTGTCGATTTATATGGTCAGCGAAAAGCACATCTACAATATGAAGATACACAAATACTATTTCACGAAGCGAGAAGAGAAACAGCCAAGCTGACATAAGAAGATGGCATGCCGTCAGCTAAGAATCTTACTTACTGTTTGATGGACCGCAACTTTTGTGATCAGGACCTACGTCAAAAACACAATCAAAACACTCTGGACAATATACAGACACATGTTCTAACCTTTGCTAACAATTACGATGTACACGTCTGAGTGGAAGATAGTCTACGCGACAGGACTACGTTGAAAGAATTTACAGAACCATTTGATTACATTGGTTAGTTGAAAAAATGACTCGAATTTACCACAATTGCTAATATATAAGTACAAAAACCCGGAAGTACACTCCAATACTTACAAAAGAGAACAGCTACATAATCTGTGTCGTCAATGATTTTTGCTAGGATCTTTTGATTAACTTCTTCTATCCGGTCGGGAAGGTCCATTGCTTCTAAACTCGTCAAGAAATCCAGGACGCTCTCCTCGTCCATGAGATCTCCTAAAATTGATAACATTGCAAAATACTTTAATAAGTTACTTACTCTTTTATTTTCCATATACATATTTGTAATATTTACTGTTAATATTGCATTGAATAATATTATTAATATTGCATGAACTGTTTTGAAAATATTGTAGCTAAAACCTTGTAAGTATGAAAAGATTTTTAAGTGTCCAGAGAGATTAATTTACACAATTTATAAATAGGTGAGATCCGGTTTAAAGAGCCCTGTTACAAATTTAACAATCAAGACAAGTTCTTGAGTCACACTTTATAATTAGTTAAAGAACAATAAAATTAACATCAGTCTCGCTCTTAACGTTTTTTACACTAATAGATGATCTGAAATAAAAACTTTGGAAGCAACTACAAAGAACGGTAATATATTATAGGTTTGTCTATCAAAAACGTATCTTCTTTAAAAACTACATAACAGCGATATTAGATTTTTTTCAATTATTTAATTAATTTAAAGTGTTTAGCACTATTCCTCATGACAATGTAATAAAAACATCCCTGGTTAAAAATGAATGAGGTACTACATATGAATTGAAAAAATACTTTATCGTTTAACAGTCGCAAAATAAGCCAAACAGATTGGCACTAATAAACCAAGTGATATTATCAATATAGTGTTAGTAACAATTAGTGTTTATTTACTAATACAATCTATGGTATCAATGTCCCTGGCACACTTGTTTTAATCATCTATGTTCACATATAAGCCAAGTCCATGTTCTGAATTAGATACTGTTTTAGATCGATAAAAACGATTCAATACTTTCTTGTGTGGATACTTTGAATAATTTCGCAATTGTCATACCAGAATATTATTTTCCTGGCTAGATATTTTATTTATATACAATTAATATCATAAACCACAAAGTTTTTGAGTGGTTTTACGAATATTTGTAACTTTATCACGCCAGAATGGCCAATCGAATCTGCATGTAATTTGCCACAGGGATAGATTATAATTGACTGATAAAATGATCATTAACTTGTGTGAAACCGAGGGTAAATGATAACACGATAAAGAGAAAGAATTAATTAATTAATTTTAAAAAGATTGCCATTGTAAGTGAGATTTTTGCCTATTTTAAAGTGGAAGTGGTTACGGTCTGACCTTCGTAAATGATCGGTTCCTTCTCACGAAAGTACGTGAGGGCGGGGAATTTCGTGATGCCATACTGCTTCGCGAGCCGCTTGTCGTTGATCTTGACGAAGTCAACCCCAAAGGTGTCCGTGTCGTCGTCGATTTTCTCAAGTTCTTCTAATACTTTGTCACACGTTACGCAGCTCCTTGCATCTGCCGGGAGGGAAACAGTCTTATAAGTATTTCAAACTTAAAAGACTATAAGAAGAAATAAAAGGAATTAAAATTATTATTTTTCCAAAATTTCGATTTGATTTATTAACTATTTATTATTATTGAGTTATTAACTATTTATTAAAACTATTAACTAACTAACAAATATTCTATAAAAACAGCATATTTCGTATCAATAATTCATGACAATCATGTATCAATAATTCATGACAAGCGTCTGTTCGAAATACGGCTAGGGCTGTGGGTTAGAGTGAGAGAGGAGGAGCCTGCCTACCGCTGCCGTATGCGTGAGAGAAAGAGAAGCCAGACAGACTGGTGCCGTAACGCGTTACGCAACGAAGCGGTTTACACTCCCATAAGAATTTATCAGTTCATAAATATTTGCCTCTCAATTTTTTTATTCTTTGAGGCAGGGAATAATTTATTTTCTACTTCTGTTGTTTGACTAAATGAGTCAAACAACAGAAGTAGAAAATAAATTATAAAATAAAATTCTTAACAAAACAATCTATGTACAAATTTCAAGTTATTGTTAAATCTTAAGAACTTGCGACAATGATGATAGCGAAAATACCTGGCAATTACTACAGAAGAACTTCAGAAAAAGCACGGTTGATCTTAATACTGGGTATATGTTCAAAACATCTGATAAATACGCTAAATCTAAACCTAAATCCGAATTCTTTTATAGTTTGCATAACAGCAATGCAATCCTTGGAACAATTTGGATTTCATTCAAATCTGTTTAATGTTTAGTGCAATAGCTTGTTGCTAGTTGTTGACATGTGCTCGTATAACGCAATAAACTTTATCTTTATTGTTGGCAAATAAGCTCATAAATATAAAAACTCACGCACGAAGAAACCGCAAATATAAAATATATAAGATTTACTGTTGTACTCGTACACGCCTGAACCCACATTACGATTCGATTCGTGGCCGTAGTTGCGTTTAATTTAATGGCTTGTACAAGTTTAATGTTACCTCAAGAGTATGAAAACGTTTTACTGTTTAATACACCGTTTAATAGGAAATATATTATCCACAAGGTTAGTATCTCTAACGATTTAATTATTAAAGTAAATGTAGTTTTGTAAACTATAATAACAGAATGAAACGTCACTGTATACACATATTCCCTATGTTGCCGAGAGCGGATCAGAGCCACTCAACATTTATTATTACATTTATTGAGAAGAATTGTAAGATATCATATTATTTGACAGCTTTATTTTAATTATACAAGTATTTTATCAGTCAATCTAGCTTTCATAGCTTGAAACTAGATGGCATTGTGTATTAGATGTCAAATAAAATCTTATTATTGTCTTAACAATTTTGTAATACATTTCTAGCTCTTTTTAAAAGTGTAACGATTGCCATTAAACAAACTTTTTACATGGCAACAACGAATCTGTGAAATAGATTGTCGCTTACGGTGTTTCCTTACCGATACAACCTCTAAACCTTTAAGAAAAATACTCAAAGGCTGGCAGCGAGCTTGTGACTCCCGAGTTGCAGACGTTTTTGGGCGATTTTCATTATTCATTAGGTGACTGATCAGGTCGTTTGCCCCCTACAGTATAAAAACAGTTTTCGTTTGTTTCCAAACATAGACAATATTGAAAATTAAAATTTTAGACATCTTAGCAGAGAATTTCAATATTAAATTGCTTATGATTAGATATTATCCCCTGGTACCTAGAACCGTAGTTTTTTATCAATCCTATATTCAATAATATCAGTCTCAAGTACAGTAAACGTGCCAAATAGTAAGACACGAGAATACATATGCGACTGCTGTGGTCTTGGTTCGATTACCGGAGTTTCGGTGTTTTCTATGTTTAATATATATCTATTTACAAAAAAAGTATAACAGTACCAAACTTATTATTTATTAGAGATTTATATCAAGTAGTTGATTTTTTTAATAACACTAATAGTGTTGAAATTAAGAACTTAACTGTGTAACGATATCTTTATGGTTAGTTTTACGTTTCATCCGCCCACTAAAGTTATAGCGTGAACCTATTAAACTGTTCTGTATGACTGTAAAATTCATGCGTTCCAGTTTTCGTGAAAATCAGTGGGCAGAGAGTATCTCTTTATTATTAACTATTAAACCGCTTCGACTTCGCGGAGGTAACAGAGCGTATTACAGTTTCCAATCTCGTAGTTTGTAAATATTTTAAAAATAATACATCGTCATGAATTATTTTCATATAACTATAATATTGGCGACGCAAACTCTCCGACCTCTTCAACATTCGTTGTAATTATTCAGTAAAATACAAAATAATAGATTATATTTTCTTTTTAATTTCAACTAAATCAATTACGTTATAATATCGATAGTAGAACTTAACCACTATGCTATGAATTAATCTCATAGTTACTAGTCAACTACAGATATCTTGTAACAAGACATCGAATTATGAGAGAATGTTACAAGAAAAACCTCCTTTCCACTGAGAGGCCTATGTTAAACGGTGGACTATTAAAAGCTGTTGATAATATTGATCACGATAATTAATAGTAATAGAAACCAAATATACGAGTATGTACCTACTTTTATAAAAATCTGTTTGAAAATGTGTATGTATATTTAATAATAATATTATATAAGTATTACCTCGTTTTTTTTTGAAGATTTGCGATAGACATACTCTTAAAATTTATATTTCTTTGCTTTAGAATGAAACACAGAAAATAAACAAAACAGCACTGTATAATGTGTGGGGGCAAGATACGAAAAATTTAACCTTTTCCGACTTTTAATTCATTTTGATAAAATTCTATAAGAAATAAGAGGTTGATGAAAAAACTTCTACCTTCAGATAACGACCTTGATCATAGAGTTAAAAAAAAAGAAAAGAAAGAAACAGCAAGGCCACATCAGTTTATTCTATTCAACCGCTTAACAACTGCAAGCGGTAAACGTCTTCAGCCAAACGAGTGACGGCTGTTTATAGAAATCACTCGTTGCCTCAGAATACTCGTACATTACGATGTCGGCCCAGCTTATAAACTATAAAGTCTGGGTTTGGAGGTCAGGCATAAGTACTCCGCGTAATTTATAGACAGACTGGTGCATATGCTCATAGTTTGGAGAAATCATTCAGTTCCCTCAATACTTTACGTAAACTAAAACATCTGTAATGATCTCGCAAGATTAATTTCAAGCGAAATGATTTTTCCTACCCTTCCTAATATGAAATGAATCCAGGTGCTTAATATATACTTGGAATGCTTGCGTCTATTTCTCCAGACAATTTTAATCCTGGATTGTTCAAAGTACTGTAAATAGGTTTTTCTTGGTTAAGCGTGAACACAGACAATATTAAACTAGAATTAAATTCTGTCTTGTCTCTCAACTGTCAACATGTCTGTCTTGTGTGTGCGTGTGTCTGTGTACTACTTTCTTTGTTTCCATTTTTTCTTTCCATCAGGGAAGTGGGCACATAAACTTTGGAAATCCAATTATTATTCAGGCATAGCCTACGTATAAGATTATCTCTGAAGACTTAGCCTTCGCCTACAATATAGTATTTAGATATGTGAGATTTTATCTTACCGTTTTAAAAATATGATAGGCCGATTATCTCACGAATGGCCTTCTTATCTCACGCTAGCCAAATCCTGTGATACAGTAACCAAACTGATGATAAACATACTTAAAGTTACTATTATTTGACCTGGCACAGAAGGTTCCTTACTCCTTACTTACGGTTCCGTGCGTCTGAATGAAAAAGTGTACTTATAGCATAGCAGTGGAGACTTATAGCATTATTCGAGTGACGCTCTGTTTTTCTGTGGGGGGACAGAAGGACAGTTTGTTTCAAATCCACAGAACACACAGCATATCAAATCTTGTCCCACACATTACAAATAAAAAAAATGCTAGGTGTACCGTATGTAGGTACATATCAAAAGAAGGTTTACAGTGAAAGTATCCAATATAAATTTATTAAATATTAACAGTTTTTTTTGTTTTTTTGTTAACATTTGTTAACAATATTAAGAGCCCTATTTATAATCAAAACTATTAAGTCTCAATTTACAAATCATTGTACGGAACCAAGCACTTGCCAGTTTTTTCGACACTGAATTAAATACTTTTCACTAATGTCGAGATTGAGACGATGAGGGAATTGACAAAGAGAATCTCAGTTTTGTGTAATTTAAGTTATCTACATTTACATTTATCTACAATATATAAGTGTTTTAAAGTATTTACGAGTATATGTAGGTTTATCAAAGTATTTATTTTATTTTATTTTTGTTTATGGGGTTGTTGGCGCTCATTTGGAGAAGCCTTCGTTCTGCAGTGGACGGCGGTAGGCTGATGGCAAGTAACCAGACTGCTGATAAACATCAGCAGTCTGGTTACCATAGCACAGGCTTTGCCTATTTTGGGAACAGAACATCTACCGTGTGTAAAATCTTTAATTACTTAATTTCGTTATTTCTATCGACTAGCTTTCTCTAAAAGAAACTAACAGGAAAATAAAACCTACAGTGCACCTGAGAACCGATATTCAATTTCTCGATTTCATGGCATTCTCACAAAGGAATGATGTACCTAGTCTGACTGATCAGTATTTATAAGTTATACACCTACCTTTGTGATGAGAAAAATAAATAACATATTATTATGGCAACACTCAGTTAAAATTACCATTTTGACTGACTTCAAAAAGGGAGAGGTTATCAATTCGGATGTTTATATATATGTTCTTTTCTATGTATGTTCGGGCATAACTCCGTCATACTTAGACGTATTTGCAAAATTATTTTTTTGATCGAAAGGGTAAAATTACACCTACCTTTGTGATGAGAAAAATAAATAACATATTATTATGGCAACACTCAGTTAAAATTATCTTGGTTTTTATTACCACTGATAAATAATAATTAAAAAGTAACTTAACACGTATGTATGTACATCTAAATATATCTAAAGTTTGAAACTTTATTTT